ATCCTAAACAAAATCTTAATCTTATTCAATCTAATCCTAGTATAGTTTAGAACCTCAATATCTATCAATTGAACTATTGATCTTGCTTAAAAATTTACATACCTTTCAACAATTAAATTGGCAACAAATAAAAAAAAATTGAAGATAATTGCACTCACCAAATAGAAGAAAAATCTTAAATTCTACTTGGTTATTGGCTGGCCTCCTACTCCAATCTCAATGTTGAACTTTTAGTGTCAATATCTCCTTATAAAATTATTCAATTATTCTTAAATTTTACAAGTATATAAAAAATCAAGTCTATTTCCTTCAAATACAAATTTTATTTCAATACAACTAGTAAATTGCTAAAGATCTTAAAAACCCGAACAGTCTCTAAAAGTCTAATTTTTGAGATCTTAACCTAGTTGAAATTCAATAATCTTCAATTCAATCATTCAATCAAGCTCAAACTTAAAAAATATACTTTAAATAGCTATTTTTATAAATCCTCAAAATTTGAACTATAGATCTACTACCAAACTTACAAAATTCTCTAAAATATAATATCTTTTTTATTTCACAAATTCCAAAGTCACCTAAAACAATTATAACTTTGCAAAGCTCTTGGAAAGTCATTACATACTCAATTCCCTCAAAATTAAAGCTTAAAAAAACTTATCAAGTTTGCTCTCAAATACCACTCTTTGATTTATAAAAAAACTCCCGAGTTGCCATAGGTGCTTAATTTTGTGCCTCAGGGTTTGATTTAGATCCAAGTTGATAATTGGTCCTCTTAGGATATCGAATTTTTTTCATTTTGAATTAATTTTTATTCCAATCAATTCTTAACTTCTTCCTATATATGCTCATATTCTTTAATTTTTTAATCTATCTTGTTTTGTCTTATTTATGGCCTTACAAAATAAGTAGAAGCATACTTTGTAAAAAGATAGAATTTAAACCTTTAGTTCTACTTTCTTTTGGAGTATTGTCTATTTTCTAAGATAATTTGCTATAATATTTGAAATAAGATCTTTTATAATAAAATAGATTCTTCACCTTTTTTACCTATTAGTTGTGTTATATTATCACACTACCAAGAAAGCTTCCAAATTGTTCAATATTGAATCATGTCATTCAAAAAAAGGTGAAAACCATGATAACACAGAATCAAATTTGTGATCTTGGAGTTGAATAGTTTTGGAATTGAAGTTCAATTTCAAATTTTACTTAATTAATGAATCCTTAAAAATTTGATCTTATACTATCAAAATTCTATAGGACTTGAATGATGTTCTATTATGGAAAAAGGACATGATTTGGTGCAAATGTTGAAGCAACTCTAATCATTTCTATATTTCTACTTTCTATCATTCTTGTTTTTATTTGTGGTGGTAAATTAAGTTGATTCATTGTAAGTATTAACTTCCTCAATTATTCTTCTATTTTTATCATTGTACTTTTTATTTTGACAAGCTCTACCATAATAATATTTAGAGAAAAAAAAAAGATGTCTAATATTACTTAAGAAAAATAAAAGGAAGAACTTGAGAATAAAAAAATATTAAAAATAATATAAATTTAAAATAAGATAATGTGTAACTTTTAATATACATGTATCTTATCTAAAAAAAGAAAATCCACTTTTAATCAAAAAAAGACAAAGCATTGATATTGTAAGTATACTCTTGTCAATTTTTCAAGGATAAGAACTTGATAAAAGCAAATAAACAAGTGAGATTTTTTCAAAGAAGTATGAAAAAATAGAAATAAAGAAGTATATATATTAAAAAGAAACTGAAATAGCTATGAACAAAAGACAAAAAAACTAAATAATATTGAAATTAGACTAGAAATAAGAAAAGAATTGATAAGAGTGAAGAATGCTTCATTCTTGCCTTTATATATACTATCTAGCTTGGAGCTATGTAGCAATATTCTATAAAACCTCCAAAATGTATTAGCTTTAGACAACATATATCTTAACTTGTAAAGCAAGTTTTTTGTATAGGTGCTACATAATTAGCTTCTTTTATAAGCTACCAACATGTGTGGCACATGGTTAAGTTATTGACCAAGTTTCTAACCTATTAATCAATTAAAAATACATATGAAGTCAAAGTAGGATCTATAAAGCTTTTTAAAAGCTTCTCTAAAAGATATTATAAAATTGATTTAGTTGTATTTATTTATATTTATTTATATTTATTTATATTATATATATAATAATTATAATAAATATATGTCCATTACAAAAAGTTGATACTTTTCATTGACAACATCCAACAAAATTGTTATTGTAAAAGAATTACAATTTAAAAAAGATTGCATTCAATCTTTTATCTTTGTTTATATTTTTTTATATTTGTGATACTAAAAAGATAAAAATCAATAGCTAGCAAATTCAACTTAGCAATTATTATTTGCTGACTTATCAAATGAAATATTTTGATTATCATAGCCTTCAAGAAAATGTAATCAAGATGAAGATCTTTAAGAATAATATGTTCTTTCTTAAATAGATGGCAAGATGTAACGTACTTAGTATCATGACTTTGGAAGAGAATCTTGATGTTTGGTGATTTTATTGGAAGTAAAAATGACTCTTGATGGTATTATAAATATTTTGTTTCAATGAAGTTATGAAAGCTTCAATAATGTTTAAATAACATAGTAGTATTTCTATCCTAAAACAAGATATTATTATTAGCAAAAAAAATCTATCAACTACCTTTCAAGAGAATAACAATCAAGATATGTAGTAAATATAATTTGCTACATCTTAGACTTCCTCAGCATGTAATCACCGCTTCTTATAAAACTCATTCCTAGGAGGGAGAAGGGGGGTAATATCATGAATATACCTATAGTTACTTAGATAATATGAATAGATAGAAATAAATAAAAGTATGTTAATTTGGTAATATCTTATGGAGAAGCTTCTTAAAAGCTTGATAGATGCAGTTTCAACTTTATATATATCTATAGGTGATAAATAGGTTAAAAACTTGGCCAACAGGTTAGCCATGTATCACATGTATTGGTAGCTTGTGGTATAAGCTAATAATATGGCACACTTATAGAAAACTTGCTTTGTAAGTTAAGACATGTGTTTTGTAAATTTGACACATTTTGGAGGTCATATAGAACATTGTTATATAGCTCTTATGTAGATAATATATATATAGAGATAAGAGTGAAGCCATCTTCACTTTTATCAATTCTTTTTTTGCTTCTAGTCTTGTTTCAAGAATCTCTAGTTTTGTAGCCTTTAGCAATAGCCATTCCAATTTTTTATGAAATATATTTACTTTCTTATTTTTAATTTGTCATCTCTCTTTGATTCATTTTTTACTTGTTTATGTATATTCTTTAAATTATTTTCCTTAATAATTAAAAGATCAGAAATGATGAGTTGTTCAACAATATTAAATGACAATAAAGAAAGTTGTTTCAATTTATGTGGCTTGGAATTGTTGACAATGGAGTAGTCAATGGAGTAGTCAAGTAATACCAAGAAAATATAAGCCAAATTAGATACTTTGGTATAATATTTTAAGAAAAGATGGTGTTGCAAAGGATTTTTTCTCCTCCATGATAAATAGAAACCTTAGTAGATCGTTTACTGCTCCATTGTGGAATTTATTTTTTAACCACCACAAGAGTTGAGCCCCGCATCAATTTTCAGACAAATCCTAATGATTTGGTAATAATCCTTGGCCATCTTGAAGTAGTTTGGTCAAAAGATTGTAGTTGCTATTGTATATTAAATATCGTAGAGTTGTTGATATTATCTTAGTCATAACAATGTTTTTGCCTATACCACATGTGGCTAGGTTAATTGTAATTTTGATTCTTTATGGCAATAAAGATTGTCTTTGTTTGTTTAAAAATAAATAAATGTAAATCTTACCAACAATTAAATTTCTAAGTGGTCAATTATAAGCATAAAATGTTGAGTGGTATTAAGTCCAAACAACTTTCTATATTATCATTTATACCTTTAAATAGTACCTACAATAAATTAAAAAAATATATTTATTACATAGTGGACATTATTAGAAGTCTTTTTTTTGTAAATATGGTGATTTTTCTACCGACAAGTTGAGTGAAAAATAAAAACTATCAAATTTTTTACTTAAATTACAAATCATATAAATTTTCCAATTTAGAGAATGAGACAATATATGCATGTTTTAAGCTCTCTATTTTGTTCAGAATGTGATAGATAATAAACATCTTCAATGTAACATTAATGATACAAAATTGATTTATATTTTATTCTTTGAAATCCTTGATTCAATGTTTGCATCATATTAAATAGTATAATCTGTTCTTAAAATATACCCAATAAGGCAAAACAGTAAAACCATTGCAAGCATGTTTATCCAAAGTCATAATTGGCAGTAAGTTATTTTCATTTAATCTACCATGTTTGATTTTTCAGATTTATTCTATGTTGTTTGAATGCAATAATTAAAGAAATTCCATTCAATTCAAGTATTAATTATTTTTTGATTTATTTTTTAAAATCTATCATATCCAAATTCCACAACTTACAACTTATTCATTATGTGTGGTTTGCATACACCTCACATACATTTTTATTTCTTATACATACACTTATATGTATTTTGGGTGCATGTTTATATGACACCTGTTCTAACACACATCTGAACACAAAAATGTCAAATCGTAATTAGAAAACTAATGTACTTTCATAATTCACCTTAAAAACCTCAAAACAAGATTTAAGCAAATCCCGCATTTATTTCACGGTAGTGATGTTTCCAAGTAGCAGTAGAGACATATTTTGTACCAGTTCACTTTTAAGTTTTCTGAAGAGAATCCAAATTGAGCTTATCTACATCCTAAAGCATGCTTTGAGCCCAACTTCTGGCAGCGTTGACGTTTGTCGTTGAATATTCCAATAAACGAATCATCTCCGTCAACAGCTCAGTGATATTCGTCCATGATTTCGTCGGCTTCGTCGCCTTGCACGCATTAGGGCAATGTCGAGTTGCGTCGAAGGTTTTGTCCCGAACCATCTTTTGCTCCAAATTTTGCATCGATCTGCTCGCTTGTTGGCCTTTGTCTCGATTCTGGATCATTAAGTGTTGCAACCTTCTCACCATCACCGGTGCAGCTTCGGTCTTCCAACTATTTCCCTCGTGAGTAAGTTTTAAGCTGCAGCCATGGGGGACAGCCAGTACTCGTTCTCGCTTACCACCTTCAGGTTAGTGCACATCAGTCGGCTTTTGTGACACGGTCCCTTAATTTCTCGACATCGATCAGAGGTATCGATAGATAGTCATGCAACGATTGCGCGGAGTTTAGGTTTAGTGGAATCAGCAGGTCACGCTGGCGTTTGGGTAACTTACGTCCTTGAGTCCTTTTCGGGGGACTACGTTGATTTTGCGCTGCGGTGAGAGTGATCGAATGAAATCGTGTGAGGGTTAAGAGTACACTGGTTGTGAACTTCGTGAAATTGCGCTTAGGGTGTCTCGTTTTTTGCTATTTGCTCGTGATATTGGAATCTGCAGCCGACTGAACAGGTGTGGAATTTGTTTGTTGTGGTTGGGTTGAACAGTCCATCTGGGAAGCTGGTACAAATCGAGTATGCCTTGATGGCTGTAGGTGCAGGTCAAACTTCCCTCGGAATCAAAGGTATTCTTGTGTGTCCTAGGCTTGTTTTGACAGGAAGAGAAGGTGCTTTCCACGTATAAATTTGAGTTCATCTAACTAGTTAAATAATCATATTTTCCTCCCCGTTGGTATCCAGCCTCAAATGGCGTGGTAATTGCGACAGAGAAGAAGCTTCCATCAATTCTTGTTGACGAAGCCTCGGTGAGTTATCTTTCGCAAGTTTTTATTTTATGCGAAACTAGGGTTTTGTATGCTGCTGAACTTCCGCACGGTTGCCACGGTTTCTTGATCGCCAGTGATTTCTTGCATTACCATAAGGTACAGCTTCGAAATATTTGCTTCAGCGTATTCAAATTTGTGAATAGTTGCTGATGATATCCTCTTTATTCTCAGATTAATAAAATTCAGTCATTGACCCCAAACATCGGAGTTGTCTACAGGTTAGTGCTTTTGTCTGATATTCAGGATCGAGAGTACCCATCTAGTCTTTCTAGTTTCACTTTTTGATTTATCAACAGAAAAAAGCATTGTTCTCAAACACCGGATTTTCTGCATGTATAAATAATATGAGCAGTTTGATTTCGTTCAATGCATTTCGTTGATCACTCTAAATTTTTATTTCCTTATTTTTTTTAATAACAATCTAACGTGGTCTGAATTTTCTATCCTTGAGACTTAGTTCGTTTGATTTCAATGTGGGACTGGTCGGAGGGTGTTCCACACGAATCATCCTGAAGAACGTATCATTCTAGTTTGATCTTTCTGGAACCTTGTGCGCCATTCTGATTTTACCCTCATTACTTACATCGTAGTCATATATGTGGGAGGTTTCAGCGGTATGGGTCCCGATTCTCGTGTTTTGGTTCGCAAAAGCCGGAAGCAAGCACAAACATATCAGCGACTTTACCAGGTTTGAGATTATCCATCTTTGCGATTGCATGTCTGATCCTGTCTGGGGACCTGATTGGTTACTCTTTCTCAAATGGACTTTACTTTTGTATAATGATGTGTTCCAAGCTGACGCAAATTTTGGTACCGTCACTCGGACTCAATAAAATGTTCACAGAACGGTTGTTTTGTTCACATATTTGCCACTCTCTTGTAATGGATGCAGGAACCTATTCCATTGTCACAGTTGGTTAGAGAGACAGCTGCAGTAATGCAGGAGTTTACACAATCAGGGTGTGAATTTCTGTCATTCGTTTTTGAGATGGCCTCAGTAAAGCTCGGATCTTAAGATTTGTATTGATACTTTCAAGATATTGAGATATTAAGAACAATAGACTTGGTGATTTTCGTGGATTTATCGCGACGAGATGCTGGATGACAACTGGTTAAATAGGTCGGGGAAATGCTGGTTAGAAGGCTTGTTGTAAGTAGTACTTAGAAAACATTGTTTTAAGGAGTCATTGGACCTATTTCTGGTGAATCCTAAGAATACAAGCTGCCATTGATTATGCAGGGGAGTGAGACCTTTTGGTGTCTCCTTACTGATGGCTGGCTTTGATGATAACGGCCCCCAACTTTATCAGGTAAGTTTTCCTTTTCTGGTTCTTAGCACGCAGCCTGTGTCCCTAATAGTGTATGTTTTTCTAATTTCAATGAGTGCAGGGTCGACAAGACCTGTCCCTTTTTTTCTCTCTTCTTTGGTGCGCACGCATCCGCGTTTACTGATGCTATGATGTAGCCTCTCGTGTGATTTATTCCAAGAATTCTGCATGTTGCGGGTTAGGGCCATGTCATTTACAATTAGGAGCTTATTCTTTTTACGGTTAATTCGATGTAAACATGATATTAAGTGCAGGTAGATCCATCAGGATCATACTTCTCATGGAAGGCATCAGCAATTGGCAAGAATGTGTCTAATGCGAAGACTTTCTTAGAGAAAAGGTCGGTCCTTTCCATACGTTGCACTCTGTTTTCGATTCTGTAGTCTACGATGTGGTAGAATGCAGGATGAGTTTTGAACGAGACGATTCGTGTCATATTTAATATGAGATAGTGACTCATTCGAGAGGCATACTGTTACAAGCAGGTATTCTGATGACATGGAACTCGAAGATGCTATTCACACTGCGATTCTGACCTTGAAGGAAGGGTAAGTCGTATGTTCAGAGGTTGAATTGCTGATTACATGTCTCCGACGTATATTCTATCATGGAAAATAATTCTGAGTTTGATTTGTGCGGGTCAATTTCAAATTTCTAACACTTACACGTGACAGCTTTGAAGGTCAAATATCGGGGAAGAATATCGAGATTGGCATCATAGATGAGAAGCGTGTTTTCAAGTAAACCTCGCCTCCTTTCTACCTTTATTATTGTTACGCTCCATGCTTAGGCGCCCGAGTTTTCACATGTGACTGCACGCTTGCTATCTGTTGAGTTGTACTCAAGAGGATGCAGTCTTGGAATCTGAGATTGAGTTATACGTCGTTTTGTCTGCAGAGTTTTGACTCCAGCTGAAGTGGAAGACTACCTTGCTGAAGTAGAGTAATTTTGCTAGAAATTGAATCAATTGTTCTGGTGTATAGAAGATGCATCTCTTGACAAGTTGGTTGTTAGAGGACCGGTTCTATTCATTTGGATGTCGGTTCTTACTGAGAAGCGGGTAGAACATTATAAAGGTTAACAATTCTAAATCAATGCAGTCACATCATTTGCTAGTTGTGTCGTTAAAGACCACCCTTCAACTCCATTCACATGGGAACGAATACTCACATCGCAGGTTAATTATCGTCAGGTTATTTCCTAAGACTGCTACTGAAACTTTGGAATCCATTAGAGGACTGTGGAGGTGATTTATCATTTTGCCCCCGAAAACATGCACGCCTAGAAAAGTCCCAGCATTGCCATATCGAGCGACCGTAATATTGCTTGAAGAATATGCTAAGTATTTTAATTTACTATTTTTGACATATGCTGGGGCGGTGGCGCAGTTGGCTAGCGCGTAGGTCTCATAGCTACGAGAAATCCTGAGGTCGAGAGTTCGAGCCTCTCTCGCCCCAAACCTTTCTACTCGGAGGATCACATTTAGTTTTATTTCACGGTTTGATTTTGGAAGGTTTAAAATCAAAACGTTCTTCACAGATTCATAGTGTTTAACGAATTAGTATAATAAGTAATAAATAATTAATTAAACTAAAAATAGAACCACCGTAACAAGTAAGGATATTTTTTTATGTTGAGTGCACATACTGAGAGAGAGAGAGAGAGAGAGAGAGAGTAGAATGAGCATCATTTTTGCATTTTTTACAATATTATTTATCACAAATTTGTACACGTGGACTGCAGTGTTAAAAATAAATAAATAAATGTGACGGTTTTAATAAAGTTCAACTGTTCCTGTAAACACAGCAAGGCATGCTTTAATGTAGGTGATGCTGTGAGTCTCCTACAACTCTTCCTTTCCCTTCCCTTCCCTTCCCCTCCCCTCACTTCACTTCTCTTCCTTTGGCGCTGTCATCAAACATCTCTCTTCACCAAAACTGCAGAGCAAGTTCAGAACATTCAAATGCTGATTTGACTGGGGCAGACCTTCCTTCCTTCCTTTCTTTGTCTGATGAACTACTACACACCTCTGCTGTTGCACAGTTTGTCATAACAGATCCTGTGAGCCCATCACTGGCAAGACCACCAGTCAACACCAGTTTCGAACCATTATCCCCCCCCCCCCTTTGTAAAAGACAACAACATGGCAATGTGGAAAGCAGAGATGAGCATTGAACAGACTTCAGCAGAATTGAGAGTTTGGCCATTTGAGGAGAGAACCACATCCTCGATCATGGCATGTCCTGAAACTGGCAGTAGAGAGGGAGAAGCCTTGATGAGCTTTGAAGACAAGAGGGAAAAAGCATTGAAGAGGGACAGTGGGGCTTTCATGAAGTTTGGGAGACGAGAGGGAGCAGCTTTGAAGAGAACTTTAAAGAGAATTTTAAAGAGAACTTTAAAGAGAATTTTAAAGAGAACTTTAAAGAGAATTTTAAAGAGAACTTTAAAGAGAATTTTAAAGAGAACTTTAAAGAGAATTTTAAAGAGAACTTTAAAGAGAACTTTAAAGAGAACTTTAAAGATAACTTGATGACGTTTTGAAGAGGAGAGAGAGAAGCTTTGAATAAGCTTTGAAGATATGGATCCAGTTCTTCGAACACACAGCCACCACCTTTATGGTGTAAAAACCTGCCAAACTGGACCAAGCATGGGCATTCAACAAGCAGTGGCCCTGCTATTCATCTCAACATTAGTTTAGCAGTCTTTGTGCCCTAGTGTACCACTGACTTCGATACTAGAATGTGGGTTTTGCCCACATCCAAACTTTTTTGTGTGCCAAAGTCTGCTGTGAATTCTACTGAGGGTTGACTCTTACACGGTCTCTTCCATCTCATTAGAAACTGAAATACAAATACCAAATAGTTCACAATTTCTGGTACGCTGATAAAATAATCTAATTTAATATAACCTTGTTTTTTTAGGTTGAGTAAAGGTGCAAATATATGTTCTAATTTAAGACATGTATTATGATATTCTCAATATATACATATAAAACAAACACGATCTAAAAATTTAACAATCCAAAAAAAGTTTTCAAGTCATTTTTGAAACCAGAAAAACTCACGAATGAGGAGTTGTTTGATTAATATGGAAGAATGTTTATTTTCTTTTACTACTAAAATTATATAATTAAACCGAGGTATAATACAAGTTACCTTAATTTTGTGCAATCTCATGATTTATACATACATAACTATAAATTTGCAGTTCATGTACAAACTCACAAGCACCAGCCTAGTGGATATGTCAACTCTTATATGTTTTTTATTAGAAAAAATTAAATATATTCAGTCAAGCAATAATTTAGATTACAATTTAAACAAAATAAAACAATGTACAAGCTTAATTTAATACAATTTGTTATTCTTCAAATTGCACCACTCTATCACACATTAATTACATAATTTCCAAATTTTAAGTCATTTCAACACATCTGAAAAAATAATAATAAAAAAATAAATAAACGAATTCAGAATATTTCAAAAGTACTCTGATAAACACAAACTTATGAACAGGGCACTAATCACTGACCAAGTTTGGAGCATCGACGCGGAATACGGTGCCATCATCCGGCAGTATTAGGTACCACATGTGTCGACCCATGACCGTATTACCCATACCCGCTGTATAAAGATACTCTATAGTACACCGTATCCAGGGGAATATAAACTTTGTTTTCCACGTTTTGAAACAAGGCAGAGGGGTGGGGGGGGGGGCTAGGGCAGCCAAAAGCACAGGAAAAATGGCTGACCCCCGGAAAGAAATGAAACCGGGCAGGAAACGGGGAGCTGCTGCCTGCTCGCCTGCCCGTCTTTACGTGACGTTGTTATTCCCCTCCCCGGGGGTTTTCTTTTGCGCTCCGTATCTTTTGCTTTTTCATCCCGATAATGAGGGTCACCAGGTGAGGGAGTGCTAGTGGTGTCAGGGAGGGAGGGAAAATAAAAAAAGGAGAGCAACCCCATTCCCACTCGATTTAATGTGCGTGCTTGTGCCTGCCCATCTGGATGGCCCGGCCTTGGGGCACGCGCCCTAATCCACTTCCTCCTCCCTCCCACACACCTCACCACCAAATAATTAATCACAATAATAAAATACACGAATTACATAATTCGTGTACTTTTATTACATAATTACATTTGTTTAATATAGATCATAAGGGAATCACGAGTGGGTGAAATTCTCGCAAGTAATGGGGAAGAAAACTCTGATTTTTAGTTTGGGTTTTCTAAATTTGAGAAAATGGGTATTAGCGAGAGAGAGAAAGAGAGAGAGTAAAGGAGAGTTTCTGTTGATTTTTTTTTGTTTTTTGGGTTTTTCCCCTCCTTTCTCAAAGTGTCACTTAACTTAGAGTGGAAGGCAAAACTGAGAAGGAGGGAAAGGAGCTTTACCCTTCTGACAGGAGTTTTCTTTATGGAGGAAAGTGGGGGGGGGGGGTGTGTGTGTGAGTGAAAGGAAGCCAATTTTAAGAGCAGGAACAAATCCCACCCTCCTTTATTTGAGGCTCTGCCAGAGTGTCCATGGCCTCCCTCTCTCTCTTCAACTCTTCCTTTTTCCCTCCCTTGCTCTTACCCCCCTTTCCAAGGCATGCCTGCCAGGTTTGAAATCCCCAACCACCCCTTCCAAGGCCGCCCCTCCCTCCCTCCTCTTGGACTTTACAGTTCCCGGAGGGTAAGGGAGCGGGCCCCACGTTTTTTTCTAATCACGCTTCTCAGCCTCTAGATTAAGCGCCTTGTAGGAAGGTGGGTTTGGGTTTCGTGTGCTTAGTTAGCCAGTGTCCATTTCCATAGCTTGGTTGTTGGCCTTTGCCCTACTTCTTTTTTGGTCTAAATTCTTACTTGGAGTGCTAGTGGGTATTGGAGAAAAAACGATTAAAATTTATAATATGGTGTGTTCTCACAGTGATCCATGTTTCTATATTTTTCAGATCCCTGTGTGTCCCAATTTGGGAATTTGAAATATTGGCAAACAGCCACTTGTCTGAGTCTATTTGGTGTGGACAACCAGCAAGGCACTCTTAAACCATCTTTAATAGAATAAAGGGAAAAATACAGACTCTATCGCAAGTAGTACACAAGAATATTTGTTTATGCTTGCAAAAGAATAAACAAGGTAGCTTTTCAACTTCAACTACAATGTTTTCTGCAAAGGCACATGACAGTGACACACAACTCCGCTAGATTCCACCATTTGTTTGAGGTAAAACACAATAAAATAGCAAATGGTGGAGTTAGAACAGATGTATAGTTTCCATAATATGCATCTATACGAATAGTCCACACATTCTGCACATATGTCAAGGATAGTACGGGAAGAAAAACAGTGCACTACTACAATAGTTTGAAAACTAGAATTGCATCAACTTCACAGCAAAGAAAGAGAGATCGAATTCATAGAATACAAGAAAGTTTGAGTATTTGATATGATATCAACCAATGGCTTGAGGTTATGTTTAACCATGATACTAATCAAACTACGAAGCTGCAATATTTCTAATTATACTACAATCGAAGAGAGGCAAAATTCTCGAGTATTAAGTGGAGGGCAACCCAAAGATTATCCAATGAACTACCACACCCAGTCTGGTTTGTTCTGGTTTTCCTCCAATTGGCGGCATCCAGTTCTTGTTGGCGGCATCCGTTTATGATCCTCCAGCTACAGCTCCCCTCCTCAATGCGGTCCCTTCCCTTTCCCTAAATCCAATAACCCCGCAGGATTACCCCCTTAATCCACGATTAGAGCTAATCGGACCCAGATCTCCGACACACAACTGAGCCCATTCATGAGACGCCAGACGCCGCGAATCCCATGGATGATGCCCAAGAGTGTCGGTCCCAATGAGCTCCTCCCCCCTCTCCCCCCGCAGTCGTTTTCATGTCCTTTATGTATAAGTAGCATAGATGCGAAAACTCTGCTTGGTTTCGTATTCGTCTGCCTGGAGGGGAGGAGCCCATTAAAGTACTGAGAGCTGCCGATTACAGAGAGGCTGAAACCTGTCGGTGTGTGAGCGGGAGGGAGGAAGTGAGTGAGTGTATCTCTCGTGAGAGTGAGGGTGATGGATGGGTGACGCAGGAGTGGAGTTTGTGTTTGAGAATGTGATTGAGAGCTGCTGCCCATGTGATTCGATCGATCAATTCTTGCTGATGCGTGTTTGGTGCGACAGAGAGAGAGAATGAGAGCGTGGGGGAGGGAGTGATGGATTAGTCGAAGAAGCAGCATGATGCCTAGAGAATGAAGCAGTGAGGATGTCTGTGAGTAGTTTGTGGCAGTGTTCGATTGGGAGTGCAGTCGTTCGGGGTCGATTTGGTGGTTTTGTACTCGAGTTAGTTTGGTAGTGAGAGGAGGGGGTGCAATTAGTGGGACGTTTGAGGGTCGTTGGAGTGGTTTTGAGTTTTTGGGTGTTCAATGTAGTATGTTGTGATGAGGAGCCAGTGAGTGGAGGGACGCTTCATTCTCTAGGCTGATTTGCATGTTTTTTTTTTTTTTTTTTTTTTTTTTTTTCTTTGTGGGGTGGGTGGGGGTGTTGAGTTGCTAGGTTAGTCGGGTGGGAATATTGTGAAGAGTTCGAAGCGATTTTGGGGGTTGGAGTCGGCTGTAAAGGGATGAACGATGGAGAACTATGAGAAGCTAGAGAAGATCGGCGAAGGAATGTATGGGAAAGTGTACAAGGCGCGTGACAGAAGAACAGGGGCGCTGGTGGCGCTGAAGAAGATTAAGATAGAGAATGAGGAGGAAGGCATTCCTGCTACGACATTGCGAGAAGTATCTCTGTTGCAAATGCTTTCTAAGTGCATCTACTTCGTTCGGTAATTCGTGTTCTGGCTCTCGAAAACCCAATCCCCTCCCCCAAGGATTCGGCTCAATTTGGACTTGTTGCCCTGTGGGCGTATTTGGGAACGTTGTTTTGGATTGTCACTGTGGCGAACTGGCGTCATCGGTGAAGTCAATGCCTGTGACATCCTTTGTGTTACCTTGTTTGACATAGGTTATTAGGCGTGGAGCATTTACACAAGAATGGGAAGCCAGCGTTGTACCTGGTTTTTGAGTACATTGATACAGACCTCAGAAGGTTTTTGGATCTGTCGTGGCCGGGCCTGGACAACCCACTTCCTCAAAATACGATTAAGGTCAGTGAAAACCTTCCCTTGTTTTAGCTTGTTGATGAATTTGAGGGGTGGAGGTACGGTGCCTTGAAACATAGCACAAAACGATTATTTGTTTCAAGTCTGCAACACTTCAATTACTTCTAGCCGTTGCAGATAATATATGTGTAAGCAGTGCTTAGTGCTAGTGTTTTTCGTTGTCTAAATTTTAAACTGCCGGGCCAAACCATCTTTTAACCAAGGATTTATTCCCTCCAATGTTTCTTGAATGGGTGTAGAGCTTTGTGTACCAATTGCTGAAAGGGGTTGCTCATTGCCACAGCCACGGAGTAATGCACAGGTATACCGGCGACGACACCATATCGCATCTCAAAGTCCGAAAGGGCGGGGTCTCTAGCCTTCTGTTTGAAGTCTGGATACATAGCTTAGGTTCTGAAAAGGGAGTGTTGTAACACTCAGTTGTATTGAGTTTATTCATGTTGTAGACGTGTTCTTGGACTTGATTTTCACTCAATTTTCGCCTCTTTTTCAGAGATTTGAAGCCTCAGAACCTCCTCGTCGATTGGAGCAAGGGTCTGTTAAAAATTGCGGATCTGGGCTTAGGAAGGGCCTTCACTGTTCCGGTCAAGAGCTACACCCACGAGGTCGGTTTCACTCGTGACTCAACTTGTGCCTCAGTATTGCAACCAATACGAAAATGCACTATATATTTATCACTCTTTAGGTGGTAAAGTACTCAATCCCTTGTTTGGCCCTGCAGGTTGTCACGCTGTGGTACCGTGCCCCCGAAATCCTGCTGGGAGCCTCTCATTATTCAACACCCGTGGACATGTGGTCTGTAGGATGTATATTTGGTGAGATTCCGTGTGTACTCTCTGATACTCTTCAAAAGCTTTGAGTACTTCAAGTCCCGGCATCCTGACTGTGTGATGTCCTTTGGTGTAGGTTGTATGTTTGTCTTGATGTCGCTACCATTCAATGACCTCAATTTTTTCTATCTGCTGCATGCTTGTAGCTGAGTTGTGTCGCAAGACGCCTCTGTTTCCAGGGAATTCTGAACTCCAGCAACTTCTCTACATTTTTCGGTGAGGAATTTTCCTATCTATCCTTGTGAAATTCTTGAGTTTGTACTGTGGTTACACTCGACCACTTTCCGTAGGCGTTAGTCTGGTCATGACCCATTCTAAGGGGGTAAGCTGAGCTAAATCTTGATGCTCATCATTGATTTGGTTTGTTGCAGGTTATTAGGAACACCAAATGAGCAAGTATGGCCTGGTGTAACTACACTACGGGACTGGCATGCCTACCCACAGTGGAGAGCTCACGACATTGCACAAGCTGTGCCAGGAATCGAACCAAGTGGTGTCGATCTTCTCGATGTAAGTGTCTTGTACTTGAAATCGTAAATTGAACTCTATTTATATTTATTGTTAGTCTTCCTTGCGTACCAAAACCAAACGCTTCTTCGCTATGCTCCTGTACGCTGATGGCATAGTTTCTGGTTTGCAGCGCATGTTGCAATACAACCCAGCGAATCGAATTTCAGCCAAGGAAGCTCTGATCCACCCTTATTTTGATAACCTCGACAAGTCGCAGTATTAAGTGTTTGTAAGCAAGGAAAGATATCAACCATTAGATAAATTCTTAACCATTTAACTCCATTCTTTACATGCGGAAGAATTACTCGTAGCCAATGAAGATATGTTGGGGTCGACCATACGTGACAAACGCCCCATTGGATTCTTCAGTAATTCCCATGCTCATTCGCTATGGCAGATTCCTGCATCGTTAATAATCGAATCCTCTACATAGAGAACTCGAGTGTAACATAACCTTTTCAATTCTTTTTGATGCCAAGTAAGATGTTCAGTACTGAACGCGTAGAGATAAAAGCTGTTCACACGCTTCTTACTCATTCTTTCCACTATGATTCGAAAGTGGTATAACTATTTGATTTAGAAATGTACTCACTAATTCAGATCATTCGATTAAAGATTTTACTGCAATTTTTATTGCAATTTGTATTCAGTTTCCAAAGGACCTCACTTATCTTTGGCAGTGATGGGTTTAAGCAATAAAATCTTTTCTTATCGGGTTCTACAATTGCAGAACTCTCTATTGATTTGTCTACTGCGGAAGGCAGTGTCAACCTTTCTTTCTACATCCTAATGGTGGAGGGTCCAGATTAAAGAAGTCTGTATTACAGGCCTTAGGTGCCTTACAGATATTTATTTTGGAAATCTGATATCCTAAAACTCTCTTCATGAACCCTTATCTCCACTCCAACTGATGTTCACAAAAAGTATGTATTTTTTATAATCGGTGATCCAGTACGAGCCAGGAGATGGCCTTCCAAATTTAGAACACTTTGAGCAATACAGATTCACTTCAGGTATTGAATAAGGATGCCTTCTTTTGAAGTCGAGCAATATGAGTGAAATCCCGTTGCACTGTAACTACCCACAGTCAGTCACCAACAAAATCTTCCCCCCGCAAGCGGTTTATGTACCAGGAATGATCCGCTTCGTTCGCTGCTTCGCTGTTTTCCAACAGATTGGTATGTAAGGCTGACAGCAATACTGTAAGCAACACTGCCACGATCCATATTCCAAAACGCGTGGAGAAGCACACGGGTGTATGATAATTTGGGCCACAGTTGGTAACTGCGAGATTCCCATACCTACTTAAAAATTACGCGTATCCAAACCTTTGACAAATCAATGAGTAAGGGAACAGATGCCATCATGTGGAACTCTTGATAAGTTTTGGTTAAGTGAACCCGACCTGAACAGCTGTAGAATATCTGCATTCAGTTGATCCCTAATCTAACCGTAGAAATATATTCATGCACTTATTAGTAACCTGCTCTGAAAACCTTTCAACTGATTTCATCCTACCCCAGCGTCTCACCAGCTGACATGTGGTCAATTAACCCTAAACTTTGTAATGCTCGAAACATGTTGAGGAGATCTCAATGGGGTTCAACGCTTGATTGTTGACAGAACTAAAATAAAGTTCAGAGATAGTTCCAAAACCGACGCTGCAAAGTCCCCAAAGGAGTAGCATCGTCGCCTGCAGCCGGATACGGAATTTGGGTGGAAGATTATATGAGAGTATGGCCAGCCAACCCTACTCATTAAGGCTTGAGATTTAAAAAGGGCTGGTACTTATTCATTAAATTCTATGAAGGAGATGTTTCAACCTGACATCTAGCACATCACTCAGCAACTTGAATATGACGTGGGCATAAAAGAAAAATGCATGATTTAGGCTTTCATAGGATCCTCCCGCAAACGTTCAGATTCGTGGACTTCTTTAAGCTTTTTATCTGCAAGAACTTCCTCAGCTTGCTCTGCCGCGACTACTTCCTCTGAAGCAGCTGATTCTCGCTCCAACCTTTCGATTGTCTCTCTTTCACGGGCCTGTTCCTCCTGCCATTCCCGTTGAAGGTCATCCTCTTCTTCTTTATCATCACGCTCCTCAAATTCCTTCTGGGCAGCCATGGCTTTGACAATAGGATCCCGAAGATCAGCGATGAGTCCTCCACCTACTAGGTACTCCTTCTCATCACCTATAAGGTAAACCCGGTGATCAACACCTGCTGTTGGGATGTCTACTGCAAGCAACTTAAAATCATACTGCACATTTCCCAGATGCAGACGAAGGATAAAATATCAGTAAAGGCGAATTTGACATTCGAATCCCTCCTTTAGAAACGTTTTCACATCCACGCAAACTGAACTATTTCAAACTCAGGTTTAACTAATACAAACTATTTACTTATTTATTTGATTTTGCATCAGTAACAACACAAAACGACAAAGACAAACGTGAGAGAGAACAAGACTAATAACAGATAATCAATAGCAAGAAGGCAATCAGACCTGGCCTTTCTTCTTCTTAACTTCGATACTCACAAGACCTTTCCTCTCTGCACCAGTGATAGGAAATATGATAAAACACCGCTTGTTGCTAAGTCGGGGCTTGAAGCCTTTAATTCGTAGACCGCCCCCAGACATGACATAGGCACGCAAATCGGTCCCTGTTAATGGCGCACCCATTACTTCTAAGACTGGTGCTGAGGTATTCAGTTTTCTCATTGCAATCCGGTATACAGCGTCTGGATTGATCGATACCCTAGACCTCATCCAAACTCCCTGAGATCATCAACGTGTCTATTAGGTCGCACAACATAGCTTAGTTCGGGTTTAGGGTTTTGGACGTTTCAGGTTCAAGTGCCACTCAAATTATAGCATCAAGGCTCTAAACTTCAAAAGTGCCATTGCAAAAACATACGAAGGGATGTTGAATTCAGATGTCCACCTATGCCATTGCAAGACTAGCAGAAGGCAACGATCACTGCTAGAGACAAAAATACCACGCAACTTTAAGTACCCAACAGTGGTGGAAGCAATCCTATGTCATTCTTCATCTCCAACCTGAATATCAGAATGCGGAAAATCAGAAAACGAGGAATGGGCTTACCCCTAAGGTAACCATGGCAGCGGCAAGAGCCAGGAACCCAAACTTAGCCATGCCCTCAGAAAGGCTGACGAACGTGCTGGCGATCCCAAACATAAGCCGCCATAGGATCAAGCAAACCCCGAATCCCACAGCCCCGACCACAACCAAATAATTCCGCTTCCAGAAAGCTTCCAACTGAAGTCCCAGCGCCTCCCTGTATCCAATCACGGTCTTTCTCGCGGTATTCACAGGCTTCCAAACGCTCAATTCGGGTACCGTCGCCGATGCAGCACCAGTCCCCTTCGGCATAACTGACTCCTTCACCTTGCCAGTCGCACCCTTGAGCCGATCCCGCAAAGAAGATAGGTTGTACTCACGCCGCCCTAGCGACACCGGCCCCTGGTGCTGAGCCCGCTCTCCTCCGAAGCTCCCCCCCTTCTCTCCAATCCATTTGGCCACCCCGCTGATCCCCCTCCTGCTGCTGCTACCAATTCCAAACACAGACTCTACCTCCAAATTCCACCCAGCCTTCCTCAACCCTGAAATTCTCCTCGACCCATCCTCCACTACTGCTGCATGATGAAATGGCGAGGCCTCCACCACAGTCCTCCTCCTACTCCTCAGGGCAATGAGGTAGTCCGCAGCTAGCGACACCCCTTTCCGCCGAGCCAACATCGCCATTTCGCAACCCTACAACAGATTCGACACACTCATCATCTCATCCCCCTCACCAAAACCAGGACCAACAAAACTTGGATAAAAAAACACACAACCCCAAAACAACTAAAACACCCAAAATTCGCGTCCAAGAAATGTGAAATACCCATTTGGAAAGCTCGGAAAACAGTGAAGGAGTGGGGAAAGGGTGGTTACCTTTTGCTATTGGTGACGATGAGGAGCGAGCGATGGATCGATTAGGACATGGCCGATGAAGCTGAAGCTGAAGAAGAAGAAGGGAAGGATTGCAACATCATCGCGGACAACATCATCGCAGAGGTGTTGTGTTGATGTTTGTGGGTTTGCAACATCGACAAACATCGATGGATTGTTTGTTTGGTCGCAGAAACCTCGTTCGTTGCTCTGACAGACTACGCCATTCTCACCCATTCCACATCCAGAAGCTCTTGTTTTCAGCCCTAATTTTATTTATTTTTTATTTAAAAACACAAAATGGGGTGTAACTGATGGTTAGATAAGTATGTGATGTAAAGAACACACCTACTTACATCCAAACACCCTTGGTGGTTCAAAGTAGAGCTTAAGAATAAGTGTTGTATAAAATCATATACAAACCAACTCTAACAAACACATTATGTTTTTGTATCACATCATAGATGTATTAAGTTGAAGTGTGGAACTTTTGAATACTTTTTAATAGTCATGTGTGTTCTAACATCTCTCATGTTTTTGCCTCTTTATAACTTGTTCAGTTTCTTATAATAAATTTTGTGATTATTTAATTTTCCATTTTGTTTCATGTGATTTTTTTACAAAAATTTGTATCTATTTAATTAGCTTTATTTGTTATTTTTTAAATATAATCTGTTTTATTTTATTTTAGAAAATGTAAGGGAATTTTATTAAACCTCAATTGTAAATAGTCATTGATTCTTTAACTAAGATTGAGTGTTGCAAAATTGTTTTTGAATTAGATAGGACATTACAAGTATCAATAATAATAAAAAAAAAATCACCAAAATCCCTTTTTAGATTTCTAATTTGTTTAAGAAATATGTAGGCCAATCTAGATTCTTCTTACTTTTGTATATTTTTAAAGTTGTGAAAAAATATTTGTTGCTAATACAACATATATCAAGAACAATAAATAATTATGTTGGAATAGATGAGGGTTTTTTACATAGTTATTATTGTTCTTTAGTATCAAATACACTACATAAACATTGCTTCTTTGCAAGCCTTGAATTGAAACCAAACATTCTTTCAATAAAAAAGAATCAAGTTAAAAAATATTATTTAATTAGAGTTATGTAAATTCCTAGTTTGATAATTGCTACTAATTATATATTTGCTCAACTTTCTTGCACTAGTCATTAGATTTATTTTAGAGGATTAATAATCTACTTTAAAATTTAACACAAAATTCTTTGTTAGTTTATAGAATGGTTTGATATTCTACTAACTATCTTTTTAAACTTTTATTCTTTGAGCCCCTTAAGTTATCTTAAACTTTCAATTTAATTCTCAAAATTTAATTAAAAAAATAATTCAAGATTTCAAGTTAATTGAGATATCATTTTTAATTTTTTACATTTTTTTTTAAAAAATATTCTTAGATATTAAAATATTTTAAAGTAGCATCTACAATTTCTTGTGTATATGATATAAATTAAATTTGGTTGGTATTTGCTATTTATATATGTATTTAATTTAGTGATTTCTTTTAGATTGTATACATATTTTTATAAAAATAAAAATAGATTCCAAAAGATGAGCATGTTCTAAATCTATTCTCATTTTATGAAGAATACTAGATCTACAAAGATAATTGTCTTAGTACATGTTCTAATTCCAATTTTTAATCTTATGATCTCTTAGAAGTTGTAAATTAAAATCTATACAAAATCTAGCTCTAGTTTTCTTAGAATTATTGAACATCAAGAATCATTTGAATATCAATTCTACCAATATAAAAAAAAAATTATCTATTTTTCTAACAAATTTCCTATTATCTTTATTAGATTTAAAAAACAAGATACTTCTTTTCCCTAGCTTTAAAATATACACCAAATAACTTTGACAAAAACAGAAATAAAAATTGGATATCAATGTATAATATTGTTTTACTATACTTTTAATTTTGTAAATTTTTTTCAAAGAGTCTACCAAAATAGCTATGAAGAAGTATTAGAAAAAAATAAAAAAATAAAAAAATAAAAAACATTGTTGATAATTATGGTTCTTATAGTTGTATTTGGTTTTGCAACATACTAGCAATTTGATTTAAATATTGTCCAACTAGTTTTGGGTTTTTATAAGCTTGAAAAAAAAATTACTTAATTTTTTGGTTTATGATTCTTTTTATGTAAAATAATATTTGATATTAGTTTTTTAATTTTTATTATTTTTTAATATTACAAATATGGATTAAATTTAAACAATATACTAATTTTAGACTAAATTTGTGAAAGAAGTCAACTAAGTTAGATACAATATAATTTTTATTTTTTCTATTAAATTTTTAAACAAAAATATAGAGATATATGTATATTAGTACAAAACTTTGTTGGTCTATACTCAGAATTGTGATACCACAAATACTTGTTTATTTAATCCCTTTTAAGATTGGAAAAAAATAATTTATTCTAATAATAAATGAATAAATACAACACAAGTGGGCATCTTTGTTGTTTAATACAAAATTTATAAGTCACAAAACCATTTAAACTGACTATCATTGTTGCTCCACAAGATATATATATATATATATATATATATATACACATTTCTTTGCAAAGTTTGGATACAAAACTTTAAAAGTTTATAGTAGAACATTCAATTTTTTAATAAGACTTAGATATCATTATCTAACTTGTTTAAGAGTTGTGCAACTCTTGAACAACTAATCACATAAAAAGTGAAAAAATTAAAAACTCAAACTCAAGAATAAAATACAATTAATTGATGCAAATGGTGAATGGAGCTCAACAAGGACTTGATTATGAAATTTAATCCATTGTAATCAGAAGCTCATTGTTGTGGTAGTCTTCAGCAAGGCTAATCGCACATCCTCACCCTTCTCTATGCTACAATTTACAAGGAGATATTGTTTTTTATTCAAATACAGAAACTTGTGTGCCAAATACCATATTTTGACAACACATATATTTCAATCAAGCATGTGAATGCCATAATGTTGTTAATGTGATTAGAGAGCTGGTGTGTCTTTGGTATGTGTTTGCTGCAATGGATAATAAGATATAAGGTAGCCAACCCATTCTCAACCACCCCCATTTCTTACCTACAAGGAGATGTATTTTTGATCAATTTGACATAATAATATTGATCACTTCTGACATCTTATGGTTTCACATTATTTAATTAACATTTCATCTCAACTCTATGGCACCATTGGATAAGTATTTAAGAATTTCATACCAACTCAAAAAAATTATTGTGAAATCAAGCATTCTTGATTTTGTAATCAACCACTGATTCTTTCGTGTCTTCACATGGACTAAATGTGCGGTGCCTTGATCAACTTCTGTGTATGAATCTAAATCACGTCATGTCTTTGGAACTGTCGCCATGAAGATCAAGCTTGTGCTCGGTGATTTGGCTGGAACAGTAACTGGTTACTATTTTAGTCTCCTCGTGTGATTTTCCCACTAAGTATTAATCCTTTGGAGGCCTCAACTCTTATGGTTGTGATCTCTCCACCATCTCTCCTACAGTAACTATTAATTCCATTCCTTGGTTGAGACAGCACCACACATTCTTTTCAATCTCAATATTCCTTGACTTATGTTCAGTACCACATTGCTAATATGGTTGGTATTGGGGTGTAGAGTTGTTGTCTGCCCAGCCTGCACACGATGAGCTCGACTTTGCGGTTCTGGGTAACATATCAGGAAACCAATACATATTGCAGACCAATGTCGTCGCAAATGGTTTTAGTGGCAGGGAGCAACAGATCGATATTTGGTTTGACCCCACAATGAAGTATCGAACTTATGGTATTTTGTAGAACCAGGAACAGATCATGTGTGTGGGTCTTCATCTTCCATACCGACTCAAGTTTCGGTCTGCCATGCCCGTTTGTTTCTTTTCACTGGAGTTACACTGGACACGTTGAATATGCAGCTCTGTCAAAAGAGGCCATCTATGTAGCACACTACTATTTTAGTCTGCAGGTGACGATGAAATAAATTCGTAAGATGGTGTTGCATTTGAGTAGTGCATGTTGAAAAGCTAAAAAAGTTCTTGTTCTTGCTTGACACACCTTCACTGTGAACAATGGCCAGTCTATTTCTACAAGAACAGTGCAGCAAAATAAATAAGTAAATATGATCTTTGATAATTGTTTACAAAATCGAATCCTTGAAGAGTGAGCAATGGAAGGAAGCGCGTCCGGCGTGATTGTGTTGTATAGAAGAGGAGAAACAACGATGAACCTCTGAACCTGGTGAAGCTTTACTGTACACTGGCATTAAGCAATACGTCTATTTGTATCTGATTCTCGTAATAAAATAATCTCATTGTATTTTTCTCTCAAAACGTTACATGATTGGTAGTCAAAAAATCTGTACCCATGTAAAAAGTCAGAATTCATGTAGCTGTATTATATTGGGCTAATGTCAAAACAACCAGAAACGCCAGAATTGAAGGGTCAAATCTCTAGCTATCACGTTGAGAAAAAAATAGACCTTAGCAGTGACTCACAAATAGGCAGATTCTCAACTCGCAACGTTAGCATGGTGTCGTGAATCAGCGGCAGCATGGTTGATCTAGGCGAGATTGTTGACAAAGAGTTGCAAGCAGAAACTATTCAGATGGTTCTAGCGCAATCCGGATAGCCATCTCTATTTCGGCATCGACTTTCTCATAGCGCTTTCGGTGTTTTTGATGCCACTCATGGAATGTCCAACAGAAAACATGACACGTTAAATGAAATCGACCTATGATGTTTTTTTTTTCTCTTTTTGGACTTATGATGTATTTTGTCTTGGAGCAGGTGACGGATGGTATGTTGAACAGAATCCATTTCCGTCAGTCGAAGCGCAGGCCTTCATTATGGAACTAGAGTGATTCGACTGCCATTTGTTGATGACGCCGGAATCGCGAGACTGCAGGCCCCACTTGATTCTGTTCCATTTTGAAGGACCTGATGAATATACGTCTGGTTTCTTTTCACAAGACGTTTTGGAGTGAGGATTGGTTGTGTGGGCATATTCAATGCACTACTGGTGTTGTAGTTCCTGGTCTGCACCTATTATAGCAGTTCTGAATCGAAGACGTTTCAACATATTATGTAGTGAACCATGATGTGCATAACACACTAATTTGTTTCTAGACAA